GAGAGAGAGAGAGAGAGAGAGAGAGAAAGAGAGAGAAAGAGAAATAGTGAGAGCGAGAGAGCGAGAGCGAGATAGATAGATAGATAAGTAGATAGAGAGACAGAGAGAGAGATGAGGAGGGGAAAGAGGAGGAAGAGGAAGGAGGCGGTTATTTTTTAGGGACGTGGGGTTTGGGAGTATTTTTTGTAATAATCAGGGAACAGGGAAATACCACATACATTTTTCCGTGATTCGGGAATAGAAGCTTGAAGCGTGAATCATTCAGCCGGGAAACGGGGGAAGCAAATTTTATTTAACTGGGAACCGAGACATGATATATTTTGCACATAGGAAACGACGAATAGAAACCCACTTCCTTCATATCATAAAACAGGACTGCTCGCTTAACATGGTGCATGATACACATAGTACACGCCTCAAATAGTAAACGTCCCCCACCCGCTAAACATTGCCCATCCACGCTATGACACTGTAAACTATTACCAATTAGCACTGTATAGGGAACGTTTTCTATGATAGGAGGAATGCCTAGTATTGTCTATTATGCTACAGTGGCATAGATCATACGAGCAGTTCGATTATGGCAGCACTGCTTTTTCCGCACTGCCATTTACTCTCGCAGTTACGCGCACGAAATGACTCGCTGTATATATACATTCCCACAGCTCGAACGTAAACGTGCGGAAGTCGACAGTTTTGGCAACACTCATCCTGCGTTTTTCGAGCTTTCCCGTTGTTTTGCGGTTTGTCAAGTTACGGCTAAGTCGTCGTTCGATGTCGCCACGGACATAGACTTTATCCCGTTGTTTCATAGACTTTACGTCTCTGACCAATTATAGGATTAGGGTGTCGGTCAGGTGACAACGCTAAAGACTCGACGACGCCACTTTGCTATTACGTAGTTTGGCTGCGCGCCAGCGAGTTTTATTTCATTGGATAGTTGATGAGACAGTGGCGACACCTATGGCAACAGAAACACGGCTCTTCCTCTTCTTCTTCTCGGGTCACTACGCTACACTCGACCTAGCTACTGCAGCACACAGGACCTGGCGCAGTGGTTGAAAGCCTCAAGGTCTCCAAGGCTGGCTACATGGCTCTGGTATTAGGGGGAATTTCAGGAGATGTCCCATAGTCTGGTCCTCCCCGCAGTCGCATTCGGTTGGGCCATCTTCAATGTATCCCCATTTTTGCATGAGTGTCCTGCATCGACCAACCCCTGTCCTGCGGCGATTTAGGCATAGCCACGTCGGCTATGCCTCATTGGCTCCGGGTGGGAGGGATTCCTGGGGGCTGAGTAAAAGCTCATGTTGGCTTGCCTGAAGATGCTTTGACCATAGGGCGATCCTGTAGTTTTGAAGGTTGCCATCCAGGGGTTGAACCGCGTGGATGAAACTGTGCCCGAACTTTAGTCTCTTCTGTACTGTTTCATGCTGGAAGAGAGGCTGGCGAGGGTCACTTTCTTGGTTAAATTTCTCCACTTGGGATGAAGCCATTCGTCTAACGTGTGGAGGAGCAATGCCACAGAGCAGGTAGAGGTCATCTATTCTGGTTGGTCTCAAACATCCAGAAATGGCTCTGCTGTGCATGACCAGGAAGACCTAATCTTGCTTAGCTACTTGGTACCAATCATTCATCCAGCTTACTAATTTAACTACGATATATACGTCCATCAGGCCAGAAAATATCCTTCATGGTATTGATTTCAACTACATAGGACATATTATTTAATTTAAATTTCCCTATTTTAATGAATTTCGTTTGTATTGGATTAAGGTTTGAAAACCACACTCACCAACCCTCGGTTCCACAAATCACTTCCGTATCGACGTTATTTTTATTTTTTAAATTATTCATTCTATTATAATTTATTGATAGGGATAATAATTTATGTTAATTATTAAGTTTTCTAATAGCAATTAAAGAATTTTATTGTTCATAAACTTGCACATAAAAACTTATGTTTTTGTGACACCGAATTCTTGAACAGAGAGAATTATGTGTATGAGCTTTACTCAGAACTGCAAACATCGCATCGGCTTACATCTCGTGAATTTGAATTTGGAATTGAACTCCACAGCTCCCACTCAAAGCCTTCAGTCACAGAAAGCTGTTTTTACTTGTTTGTTTTTTTTATTTTACGACCATCCAACGCGTAGTTTTGCAGCAAGAATCGAAAGGAAGCCTTTCACCTGCAATTAGACACGCGTCACGCGATAACGCGTGAAGGTAACGTAAAATCCACAGAGATGCCATGTGTAACTATAACCACACTGTCGCCACCTCAGCTTGGGCACTCATCTAGACCACTTCCCCCACCTACAATTAACTCACAGCACTATAGCTTCTTGAGCAACGCCAGAAACGACGAGGAGAATAAATTGAACTGTAGTCCATTTATATTCTCCCTCCCATTACAAATAAGCAAGCGTATAGGTTTCTATTTAGATCTGTTTTAAAAATCGCAGTCAGGTTTCATGACATCCTCAAGATAAAAAAAAAACACATTGAACTTTCGCCTGCATACTAGCATTAAAAACGCGCATTCCTCCTCCCATGTCATTCTGCTGCGACATCTATATCAATTTAGATAATTGCAGGAAACGCAGGAAATTCCGAAAAACCAGCAAAATCTAATTAACGCTACAAACTCGGTCATTGCATCGCGCGCCGCGAGCGAAACGTATTAGTTAATTACTACAAAAAATGCGTTATATACCTACGCAATCGATACGCTTCGAACGAAAATTGCGAGCGAGAACTATATTTTGTATTTTTCCTGCGGAAATACTTGGTTTAGTTCTTCTAATGGGCCTGTTCCGACCGCCTTAACTGATAATTATAGATGGTGTGCCGCATGTAAGGGGCCACGGGGACACGGTAATTGAAAGAAAGCGCAGCAGCACTAAGCAGTCGTTAACAATACATAATTGCCGGATCGCTACCATGCCCCGAGCGCAGCAAATGACCTTTTCCAATGTCGTATCGCGAAGCATATGTGTGTGCTTTGGCAGCTTAGGAGCATTTTCTCGACGAAAGGGCTTGTCACGACCAACTGACGCGGTTTACAACGCAATGTGGTGGTTTCTTGTACAGTTTACGTGTTTAGATTACAATTCCTGAATCTCAATATATATATATATATATATATGTGTGTGTGCGTGCGTGCGTGCGTGCGTGCGTGCGTGCGTGCGCACGTGCGTGCATGCGTGCGTGCGTGTGTGCGTGTGTATATGTATGTATATATGTCACTCGCGATGCGCTGTTTCCGTAGATATCTTACGAATCGTCACATGTAGTGTGTGTGCGTGTGTGCGTGCATGCGTGCGTGCGTGTGTGTATGTATGCATATACGTCACTCGCGATGCGCTGTTTCCGTAGATATCTTATGAATCGTCACATCGTTGCGTGTGTGCGAATCTTTACGCATTTTGTGATCAGCTCGGGCTGGACGCTCAGAGGCACAGACACTGTTCACAGCAGTGATATGAGAGAATCAGCTGTAATAATACTCGTTACTCGCGAACTTGCTACAATTCAATCAATCAATCAATCAATCAATCAATGTACGTACCTCTGGCTAGGCGTGCAGTACATTCGTGTTCCGACGACTCGCTTATGCAGCGTGATGGCATTGTGCATGATGGTTAACACCAAACCCGGATCTACAGGGAATATCCAGACAGACAGACAGATCAGTCACACATACGCAAACAGAGTATTGGGCGCAGAATCACATGCTGGAGTGTAAACTATTACTGCTATACAATTACCTTCGGTGAGAGAGAGAGATGCATGGATAGATAGATAGATGGATGGATGGACGGACGGACGGACAGACGGACGGACGGACGGACGGACGGACGGACGGACGGACGGACAGACAGACAGACAGATAGATAGATAGATAAATAGATAGATAGATAGATAGATCAATAGACAGCTAGATAGATAGAGAGGGAGAGAGGGGGAGAGGGAGAAGGGGCGGGATAGGAAGAGAGCGAGAGTTAGAAGGGGAAGAGGGAAAGGGCGGGGGAGAGAGCAGGTGAGAGAAAGAAAGAAAAAAGAGAGAGAGAGAGAGAAAGAGAGAGCGAGAGAGAGGGAGAGAGACGAATGGGAAATGAAGGACAACGCAGAGACGTTTAAATTGACTACGCCAAGAATAAATGTATCCTCAAATTCTTACCTGAGAAGAATTGTTTCTCAACTAGTTAAAAAAAACAAAAAACCTGGGCGATTTGATATATTTGTCATGACATTAAATGCTTGCTATGGGCTATGTATGAGTCTCCAGTGTTTGCACTACAGGAATAGCAAAATAGGAAGTATAATGCAGCAATTTAACCATAAAAACTAAACAGAATCACTTACATTTTGTGAAAAAGTGAACATAATTTTTTTTTACTTTAACTATTTACGGTGACATCATCACTTTAAGTAGTTGTACCTATGTCTGAGATGATCTCAAAGGGAGAGAGGACATCGGACAATGTAGAGGGATCAATCGAGTGCTTGGGAACATCCTCCTTCACAGGGCTTCGTTCTTTCTCCTTGCGCTTGAAGCTGCTTCTCAGGTTGCGGTTGCCAGTGCTGGGGCTCGGTCCTCGCCACCACTTTGAACTCGATCCTGAAAGCGTTTATACGTAGAAGTAAGAACTATAAATAGCAGACTACACGGTCGTAGACTGCTATTCGTAAATATATACTCCTAATAGATACTAAATAGATAAAT